TGTGTGTGTGTGTGTGTGTGTGTGTGTGTGTGTGTGTGTGTGTAGAGTCTCTCCATTTCCTTTCACCGGTCACAGCCAAGAAGCGTTTGCTGGATGCTGGTGTGAAGTGACAGGCAGCAGGTTGTGCTGTATGGATTGACTTGGCTCTGATAACTCCTCAAAACCAAGGCTTGTTGTCCACAGTCTGATGAAAATTTCTGATAATAGCATTTCGTTTCTCTGATATTAGCATCCGAAATTTCTGATATTCGCATACATAGCCGAAAATTTCTGATGTTAGCATTTCGTTTTCTAGGCATACTAGGATAACAATAGAGGTGGTCATATTCTCGGAAACCGGATTTATTCTTTTCTGAAAATCGAATCTCCATTCTATCTCGCAAAATGTTTTTTGAAAACCAAAATCTTGCGAAGCCTATCAGCATTTCGTTTTTAGGCATATTAGGAGGTTGTCATATTCTCCGAAACTGGATTTAGTTTCTTTTCTGAAAATCGCATCTCTACCCTATTTCGCACAATTTTTTTTCAAGATCGTATTTTTTTTGAAAGCCGAAACTTCGCGGAACCTTGCCTAGATCTCGCTCATAGTAGTCTGAAATGCCTCACTCATAGCAGATCGACAGATATACAAAAAAAAAAAAAGGGGGGGGGGTGATCCTCTTCTTTTATTTTTTTATTTTATTTTATTCTGTTGATTAGGACCGGGAGGAAAGTATAGCTTGGCTAGTTACCTACCTGCGTTTTCCCTCCCACCCAACCCTTTGCCTGCATTCCCGGTTTGGTACAGTGCCACATCAGCAGTGCCACATCAGCAACAGTGCCACGTCAGCAGTGCCATGTCAGCAACAGTGCCACATCAGCAACAGTGCCACGTCAGCAGTACCACGTCAGCAATAGTGCCCCGCCACCATGACAGTCTCAGTTCTGGGCATGCCAGGCCAACTGGCCAATGAGCCTATCATTGTCGAGTACTGACAGCGGTTCCAGGCTCAGCTCGCACTAATCGAGGCTGAGGAACAGTGTCAGGCGGCAGCCGAGGCTGCCCGCCTACAGGCTGAAGCGGCGGCAGCAGCTGAAAAGCAGCGGCTTCAGGCCGAAGCAGACGCAGATACGCAGGCACGCCGCAAGGAAGCCCAGGATCTGCTACAGCGGCACGGAGCCGCCAGCATCAAAAAGCTCAAGTTCTGGCATTTTGAACCATCCGAGCACCACGCAGACGCGACAATGGAAGAGCAGCAGAAGGAGTTTCTTGCCAAACTCGTGACCCGGTTGGTTTACACTTGTAACCACCTGCAGTCTGAGCTGGCGAATCTCCGACGGGCGGTGCGGAACCACAAGGATCTGCACGAGGATGCTACACGGGCACTTGATTCCCGTGTACAGGACTTGGACCAAGTTGCACCAAGACTGGATGCTGGTGAGTCCAGCAGTGCACCCTCTACCCGCCAATTGGAGGAACGAGTTGACCACGTAGTCGCAATGCTCGGCGACATCAGCACCTTTGCTGCACCAGCCACCATCTGCAAGCAGCTGGACACCTTGAAGACCGAGGTTCAGCAACTGCACCAGCTGCCCAACAAGGATGGCAACACCAGTGCGCAGCACTACAAGATGCCGACATTACGCATCGAAAAGTTCGATGACTATACGCATGAAGACCCGGTCCCCTGGTGCAAGGGCTTTACGACGGAACTTCGGATTCATTTCGTCCCCGAGCACTCGTACATCGGCACGCTGTTCCTCAACTCAAAGGGCGGATGCCAGATCTGGCTCAGCCACCTTGCAACCATCCACGACGTCCAAGTCGCCGATCTACATAAGAAGATCTCCTGGGAAGAGTTGACGAGGCTATGGAAGAAGCGGTTCATTGTGGACGACGACCCGACGTTCGCCATCAACCACCTCTTCGCCATGACCCAAAGCAACACGTCGACGCGCGACTGACTCACAGAATGGCAAAAGATCGCTGCAACGCCCGATCTCGAGTTGCCATTTTCGCATCTGCGCCGGGAGTTCTACAACCAGTCATTTGCCGCCTTGAGCCTCGCACTTGGTGATCGCGAGCAATACACGACCTTCACCGAAATCATTGACAAGGCAAGGGAGATCATCAAGACCAACAGGGCGGCTGCACACAAGAAGTTAGCGTGGCAGCCAACCTATGTGGAGAAAGGAAAATTAGGTCCGTGTCCGCAGCATGTCGCTGCAATCCAACCGGACAACATTGTGGAAGACCCGGCAGCCACCCAAGCATCACGTGAGGGAGATCAGGTGGCCGCTGTCCAGCCGCGAATCAACAACAACTCCCGAGGAAAAGGGAAGGCGAAAACCGCATCGTCGGACGGATACGGACAGCCAGCACCATGGGTCAAGTTTTACTTGACTGAGGCCGAATACAAGTGGCGCGACCGGTATGGCTGCTGCTATTGGTGCAACAACACCAAGCACAAGACCTCCCAATGCCCGGATCAAGGCAAGGAGGATGTTCGGCCTCGCATCAACTCGGGAAACTGAGTTGCGCGGGAGGTGATGCGACTCCACCTCTCACTCCGCCAGATTCGGCCGCCTTGCTAGCGGCCTCCTACACATCTGGGGAGGATGCGAATGTCGCAAGTCCTCGGTTCACTTACGAGGACTATGCTGTCCACTTGGTCCCACAGTTGGACCAACCACTCCACGTGCAACAATCCACGACATGCACGGTTTCACCACCATCGACAACCAATTCGGCAGCTTCGCCGCCAACTATCGTCGGGGATTCGACGTCATGGTCAAGACTTGAGGAGATCGACCCGTTGACGTTCGCGGACTTCCAATGGATGCCCCTTCCCCCCTCCGGTCGATTGCCGAAACCGCATTGCAACGTGCTCATGGCACAGTTGGAGGATTACTTGCACACTGCAGTACCAGCTCCGTTGATGGATGCCGGAGTAGAGGTTGTCGATCTTCACGACTACGTTTCAAAGATCGACCTTGAGTTCAAGACACAACGGTACGATGACATCGACGCGCCATTGTTGTACATACGCATTTAGATCGGAAAGGCGACCTGCAACACTTTGATCGATTGCGGAGCTACTCGCAACTACATGAGCCAAGACTTTATGGTACGCACCGACCTTGGGCCACACGTTCGAAGGAAGTTGCAGCCCACGCAAGTCACATTGGCTGACGGTCACACGCACAAGTCAATCGATTGGTGCATTGATGCCGTCCCCGTGTACTTTGCCCCGCATGCAAGCGAGGCCGTGTCCTTCGACATTTTGGACTCCAAGTTCGACATGATCTTGGGCATGTCATGGCTGCGAAGCGAGGATCACCCAGTGAACTTCTACTGCCGCACCATTCACGTTCGTGATCGGAACGGAGTACTAGTCCCATGCACGGTGCCTCCTCCTCACCCTTCGATCAGCTGCCACGTGGTGTCCGCCACAAGCATTTGAGCTTCCATCATCAAGGATGACATCGAGGAGATGGGTGTGTGTTTTCTCCATGCCTTTCCGCCCCAAGACATCCCATCGACGGACTCATCACCGGACCCACGCATCACCGAGCTTCTCGACGCTTATGGCGACGTGTGCGAAGCCACGCACGGAGTAGTACCGAATCGGCCCATTCGCCACGAGATCATCCTCAAGGCCGGGGCCGTACCTCCGTGTGGTTGCATCTACCGCATGAGCGAGGAAGAGTTAAGCGTGCTACGGGCACAACTCGACGACCTTCTCGAGAAAGGCTGGAGCTCCTCGCCATACGGCACTCCCGTTCTCTTCGTCCGGAAGAAGAACAAGGACTTGCGGTTGTGCATCGATTATCGCAAGCTCAATGCGCAAACCGTCAAGAATGCCGACCCTCTTCCGCGCATCGACGACCTCCTCGAACGGCTGGGCGGCGCCAAGTTCTTCTCCAAGCTTGACCTCAAATCGGGATATCACCAACTCGAGATCCGGCAGGAGGACCGCTACAAGACCGCGCTTAAGACGCGATATGGGCATTTCGAAKGGCTGGTTATGCCTTTTGGCCTTACGAATGCCCCGGCCACATTCCAAGCGGCTATGACAATGGAGTTCCGACACATGCTGGATAGATTCGTACTCATCTACCTCGCCGACATCTTGGTGTACAGTCGGAGTTTGGATGAGCATGTGGAACACCTGCGCACCGTCTTGGAGCGGCTACGACAAGCCAAGTACAAAGCCAACCGCGACAAATGCAAATTCGCGCGGCAAAAGCTGGAGTACTTGGGATATTATGTGACGCCGCAAGGCATCCGTCCGCTCGCGTACAAGATCGAGTGTATGGCCCAAACCCACCAACACCACAGATGTTCGCTCATTCATGGGGTTGGCGGGCTACTATCAACGCTTCATCACCGGGTACTCAAGGATTGCCGCACCTATGACGAGATTACAATCGCCAAAGGTGCCATTCGTATTCAATGACGATGCACGCCCGTCATTCCAAGCACTCAAGACGGCCATGGTCATGGCACCCGTCCTTAGCATCTATGACCCCACCCTACCAACGAGAGTGACAACTGACCCTTCCGGCTATGGCATTGGGGCAGTCTTGGAACAACACGACGGCGACGACTTGCACCCCGTGGAGTATTTCAGCCACAAAGTGCCTCCCATCAATTCACTTTATGATGCAAGGAAGAAGAAGCTGCTCGCGTTCGTGATGGCTCTCAAGCGATGGTGACACTTTCTCCTTGGGCGTCGTAGGTTCACATGGGTCACGGACAACAACCCGTTGACCTACTACAAGACGCAAGATATGGTGAGCAGCACGATCGGACGATGGATGCTCTCCATCGACCAATTTGACTTCACACGTACTCGTGAAGACCCGATCTTTGCACTATGACACATCAACTCCAGCGACACTTCATCCGGGGCTATGAGTCATATCCGGATTTCGCCATGTTGTATGCGCAGCTATCTTCGGATCACCCGTCGGCCAGCCATTATCGCATCGTCGACGGGTACTTGCTCCTCCACTCGAGAGGCAAGGACTTATTGTGTGTCCCACGAGACTGCCGTCTTCGGACTCGCCTTCTCGGCGAGTACCATGACTCGCGACTCACCGACCATTTCGGAGTCAATCGCACTATTGCACGACTTCGGCAACGATTCTGATGGCTCGACCTCATTACCAATGTCACTCAGTATTGCGACTCTTGCGAGGTTTGCCTACGAAGCAAGCCCCACAACCGCAATCCCTACGGCGAGTTGCGCCCGATGCCTATCCCACGGGAACCCGGCCTCTCCATTGCCATGGACGTCACCGGTCCGTTTCCCCGCGACCGCCTCGGGCACAACGACATCCTTACGGTCGTTGACCTTTTGAGTAAGTACGCGTGGTTTCTTCCTTGCAAGTACTACGCCACGTCTCCCGAACTTGCGCGCCTCTTACACACCGGCTGGATTTGCAGCCACGGCGTACCGGAAGACATCGTTAGCGACCGCGGCACTTGCTTCATGTCGGCGTTTTGGACTTCTCTCATGCAGGAATCCGGCACGAAGATGAAACAAAGTTCGACTCGGCATCCACAAACGGACGGGCAAACGGAGCGGGCACATCAAACCGCTCAAATGATGCTTTGTACGCTCATCCGTCCGGATCAGAAGGATTGGATTGACCACCTCCCCGACATCGAGTTCGCCTACAACACTTCGTTGCATCCGACAATCGACGTGGCTCCATTCGAGTTGCACCACGGTGGTCGGAAAGGCCGTATCTTCGCTGATCTTCTCCTCCCACGAACAACCGACATAGACGCTGCTTGCTCCCCCGCTTCCGTCCGGAAGTACAGGGAATTGCTGGCTCAAGCCCGCGCGAACATGCAAAAGGCTCAAGTCCGCATGCAACAGCAAGCCAACAGGCATCGCATGCCATGTCCCATCCGTGCCAGTGATCTGGTGTGGGTCTCCGCGGAAGAGTTTGCACTCGAGCAGGATGTTTCACACAAACTGCTTCCCAAGTGGTTTGGACCATGGTCCGTAACATCAGCCGCGAGCGATGAGCCCGATGGCCCCTCATTTGTGATCAACATCCCCCCGCATCTGATGGTCCATCCAATCTTTCATGCCTCGAAGCTGGCAACATATACACCAGCTAAGAGCGACGACTTCCCGGGCTGACGATTGCAAGATCCTCCATCGATGGGTGGTCATCCGGAAGTTGACCGCGTCATCACGGATCGCAAGTATGGCAGCAAGCCTCGACAGTACAAGGTTACATTCAGATGACCATCCCGACGACACTCAATCGATTTCGGGAGCAGATTTGAAAGTATCCGCGTCGCTGATCTACGCTCACTACGAGCGACAAAGGTTAACTAAGCGAACTTCACGACTTGCCCCTCCCACCCGGACTGTGGTCCCTCCCTCAGACAGACAACTTCGCCGTCGCAGGTAAGCTCGGTCTTTCAAGGAGGGGGGCGTGTGGCATACTGCGCAGCCCCACGGGCCTGCAGGGCCTGACCAGCGTTCTCAGCCTAAAAGCCTGAAAACAAGGGCCTACAAGCCCTGTGTCGTTTTCAGCCTAAAAGCCTGAAAACAAGGGCTTACAGACCCTGTGTCGTTTCAGCCTGAAAGCCTGAAAACGAGGGCCTTCAGGCCCTATGTCGTTTCAGCCTAAAACAGGGCCTTCCAGGCCCTGAGTCTTTTCAGCCTGAAACGGAGGGCCATTTTCGGGCCCTCATAAGACCGACCTGCCCTGAAACTTAGGCATCAGACCAGGGTTTTAGCACAGGCCATTTTTGGCCTGTTTTCAAGACAGCCCTTGTTTGAACTTCAACGCCAGGGTCTGGCACGTTTTGGCCTTGGCAAGAGCAGCCTCCTGGACGGGCCAGCACAATATAAGACTGGCCCGCCCTACAGGCTGCAGACAGGCACGAGGTAGTTCCTAGGAACTTCCCAGGCACTTCACGTGCAGGAGGCAGGAGGCAGTCTTCAGTATTCGGCAGCAGCACTCTGGAGGAGCGCTGCAGTAGTAGTAGTAGCGCTAGCAGTAGTCTTCAGCGATGGGCGCTATTAGAAGCTAGAGTAGTAGTGGAGGGAGAGAGATGGTTGGCGGAGGCCAGGGAGACTTAAATGTGGCGCCATAGCTCCAGCTTCGTCTTCGATGTACCTGCAACAAGGCGCCACCTTCACAGGTTAGTACCGGGGAGAGAGAGAGAGAGAGAGAGAGAGAGAGAGAGAGAGAGAGAGAGAGAGAGAGAGAGAGAGAGAGAGAGAGAGAGTCCTTCTTCTTCCTCTTCTAAGTCCACCATCTCCTCCTCACCCTCTTGCTGCCTAACTTCTCAGTACCTGCAGACTACAAGAGAGAGAGATTGGTGACTTTGGGACTTGACGACATTGGATTCAGAGTCGACGTTGGGATTCAGACATTTGACGAGGGATTATTTGGGACCTGTGCCGAAGACTTGGTGTCGACGACATTCCCATCTTCCCCTCTTCTTCGTCTAACCCCCCTCTTCTTCGTCTGTGTATGGTTGGGGACTGGCGCATTCTTCCTGTGTGAGCGTCAGGCCCCTTCACACCATGGAATGATGATGATGTATGTTTGGGCTGCACTGCGACATTGATTGTTCGGATCATTGGTATTTAAACCTTCCGCTGTGCTATCTTGTACTTTGTGAGAGAGGTCGGTTCTAGTTCTAGTCTGCACCTTTACGGTATGCAACACGTAACCAGGCCCAAAAGGTGGCCATGACTCCGCGATCTGCCCAAACTGATCCAGTGCCAGGCCCTAGATAACCCCAAGTGGGAGCCGTGCATGGCCCCCCCCTACCCTCTTCCTTGAGGAACCGAGCCTCTGGGCGAGGCCAAAGATGCCGATCGGACCATTTCAGGCCCTGGGCCACACAAATGACATTTTGAACCCAAAATGGGATCCCAGCAGCAGTTACAGAAGGGCTCAAAACGCAACAATTCACAGAAGCTCTCCCCAAGGTAACTGAACATACCGAGGCCAATTTCATTCAATGGTGACGCAGGTTCAAGTTGCACCTCGAGCTCCAACAGACCCCACATTAGATGTGGTCGAGAGCCGTCTACCTGCAGTAAACCAGAACGTGCCAGTTGCCAATAGGACAATCTCACAACGACACATGGTATGAGCATCACCGAGCTCCACGCCAAGGTCACTTAACAGCAGCTTGCTAGTGCTCGGACAATATGGTTGGCTACGGGTGGAAGACCCTACCTTTGCTAAAAATGGGTTACAGCATTCCAACGACTGGGGTCTACACCAAAAGTGGGTTTGACCTATGAGCTCATCGGAGATCAGTTCATGGACAAACAGTGTTGGGCACTGCAAAAGCATCTTGCCCTGCCAACATGGGCTCCCTAGATGGAGTAGCTAAACTCATGGAGCAGGTGGGGAGATCTGTGTCACTGATGCTGCTGCCATCAATGAGCAATGCCAACTCACACCATGGTGAAGGGAAAGGTCAATCAGCTTTATATTGCATTTGGTCCATCTTCACTGCACAAATTTGCGGTGGATGCCCATGCTACCACATTGGAGTCTGAGGGAGAAATTTTGGCAGCAGCCCAGAGAGGTCCATTGAAGGCCACCAAGAAGGGCAAGGGGCTTCCATGCTGCCAGTCACGCGACAGAAAAATCAAGAGCCTTTGGTTATGGGCCTTACTTATGGCTTACGGAAAATGGATACCATACGAGAAAGCATGGGTCTATGCCAAGGCTGCAACTTGAATCGCAACTGCAATCTGTAACCGACTTCCACCTGTGCTAATGAGGCTGCAGAGAAGAATCAGATTCAGCGGCGGCGACGACACACTCACCGGCGAAAGGGAATGATGCAACTGCATACCCAACTCCACTGGAGAGCACCGTGAAGCTGGCCCCTTCACTTGTGTCCAAGAAATCTGCTAAACTTGGCATCCTCTCGTACATCTGGAGGACCATTGTATCTGGTCGGTCTCACAGGCCCATCATGCATTAGATTTGCTTCACGATGGGGCTACTCCACATAAGAGGCGCATTTACTGTATGAAATAGAAGGTCCTGGAGCTTGAGGTTCTTCGGGACCAGCTCGATGATTTGTTGCAAAGGGTTGGCGCACCTGTTCGCTTTGTTTGGAAGAAGACTAATGACCCGCAACTACGCACTGATTATCGCAAGCTCAATGTGCAAACAATTAAAGATGCAGCCCCCCTCTTCTGCACATTGATGATGTTCTTGAGCCGTCCGGGGGTGGACGACACTTTTTCAAGCTACCTGACGTCAGACTATCACAAGACTTAGGTCCACTTGCACTACAAATCCAAGGCCTCGACATGGTACAAACATTTCGAGTGCATGGTCATGCCGTTGGACTCAGCAATGCCCCGGCGACTTTCCGAGGAGTGACGGCACGCAACTCTCGCTCATCACTGGATCTGTTCTTGCTGGCCTGTGTGGATGACATCGTCTAGAGTTGTATGTTGGAGGAGCACTTGCAACACCTTTACTTTGTCTTGAAGTAACGCTAGTTCAAACACAACGCAAACCGCTACAAATACGAGTCTGCCAAGAACGCGCAAGTCAAGTCCGTTCTTTAGCAAGTACCTGGCTGTTCGCATAATCGTTCGCAACTGCGATCTGCTGGTTGATCTGTGATGAACTAAAATTACAAACACCATGCAACTTGGAGGCAATACAGGCAAAAGGAGGTTCTCCTACCTAAAAATAAGCATAAGAATTGAAAGAGTAAAAGAAAGATGTGCATTGCAGTTACGCCGTGGTTCTCCCTGAAATGCAAGAAAGACATGGAAAGAGAGGAACATGCCTGCACTGGCCTCTACTGCTATGCTGCATTGCATACTAGTGAATGCTAAATTTGGGATCCTCCATTAGTTTTCGCTCCTTCAGTTCCAGTTTTGGTAGCAAAACCATGGAAATCACACAAAATCTTGAAAAGAGAGAACTAAAAATTGACAGCATTCACTCTGGAACACACACACTGTGGAGATCAAGCCTTGTTTTTAGGGAGTCTACTTTCATCATAGCTAAGTCAATCCATACAGCACAACCTGCTGCCTGTCACTTCACACCAGCATCCAGCAAAAGCTTCTTGGCTGTGACCGGTGAAAGGAAATGGAGAGACTATCACACACAGACATACACACATACACACACATACACACACACATACACACACACATACACACACACACACACACACACACACACACACACACTCATATACGTTTTTTTCCAAACATTATATATATATATATATATATATATATATATACAAACATATATATATTTATACAACTTTGTAAGTTTGTATATATATATTGTCACATAACTACAAACTAAAAGAGCACACTTTGCGGAACAAAGAATAAAAGCGAAAAACGGGCACAGTGATAACATGCAAAAATAAAAATATGCAAAAATAAAAAGAAAAAGAAAAAGAAAAACCAAGGGCAGATTGAAACCATTAAATTTCTCATTCTTCTTTGAACTCCACCTCCACTGTGCCTCTCACGTGCAAGGCTCGCCACGTTGATGAAGTTGAGCGCGAGCTGCCCCCATCCCCGTATGCCATA